GGTTTTTTGGTGCGATGGTAAATGGGATTGTTTTTATAATCTCTCTTTCTGAAAGTTCACTATTCGTGTATAGAAATGCCTCAGATTTCTTGGGGTTAATTTTGTATCCTGCTACATTGCCAAATTCATGTATTAAGCCTAGTAGTTTTTTGATGGAGTCTCTAGACGAAGGGAGAGAGAGATAGAAACATCCAATGATGAGAGAGAATCATTGATTGGCTGCTTCCTGCACGCCCCCTACTGGGGACCAAGCCCAAAACCTGCTTGTGCCCTGGCCAGGAATTAAATTGTGATCTCCTAGTTCATAGGTCAATGCTCAACCACTGACTCAAACCAGCCAGGCAAAAACATTAATCTTTCCCCCCAACTTTACTGAGGAATAATTAACAAATATAATTGTATATTTTTAAAGTATGTAACATGATAATGTAATGTATATATACATTGTGGAATAATTAGTAAGATTAATCCTATATAATAAAAGGCTAATATGCAAATTGACCAAATGGCAGAATGACTGGTTGTTATGATGCGCACTGACCACCAGAGAGCAGACGCTCAACACAGGAGCTGCGCCCTAGTGGTCAGAGTCCTCCAACAGGGGGAGTGCTGCGGGAGCCTCTCCTACCTCCACAGCAGTGCTAAGGATGTCTGACTGATGGCTTAGGCCCGCTCCCTGCAGGCCTAAGAGGTTCCTGGGGCTCCCGGACTGCAAGAGGGCGGTGCACCATCCCTCATCTCACAATTACTCTTTTGTGTGTGTGTGTGCTAACAATGCTTAGAATCCACCAGCAGCTTTCAAGTATATAATACCACATTAATAAATATGGTCATTATACATTAGATCCCTAGAACTTAGCCGTCTTATAACTGAATGTTTGTACCATTTGACCTACATCTCCCCATTTCTTTCCCCCCACCCTGCCCTCAGTAACCACCATTCTTTTTCCTGTTTCTATGAGCTGTTTTTTTTCCTCCAGATTCCACATATAAGTAGTGTCATATAGTATTTGTGTTTCTCTGTTTAGCTTATTTCACTTAGCATAATGCCCTCCAGGTTCATACATATTGTCATGAATGGCAGAATTTCTTTCTTTTTTATGGATGAATAATATTCCATTGTATATATGTACCACATCTTCTTTATTTATTAATATATTGATGAACTATTTTGTTGATGGTTTCCTTTGCTGTGCAAAAGTTTTACAGTTTAATATAGTCTCACCTGTTTATTTTGCTCTTGTTGCCTTTGCTTTAAGTTTTAAATCCAAAAAATCATTGCCAATACATCACTTAGGTTGTTTACATATCTTGGCTATTGTAAATAATGCTGAAAGGAGCAAGGGCATACAGATATCTCTTTCATATGTTGTTTTCATTTTCTTTGCCTATATACCCAGAAATGGAATTCCTGGATCATATGCTAATTCTACTTTTAATTTCTTGAGGAACCTCTATACTGTTTTCCACAGTGGCTTTACCAGTTTACATTCCTTTCCTTTTATATTCTTGCCTCCTTTGTTGTAAATTAATTGACTATGATCTTGTTTTTCTGAAGAGAGTATTTTCTGCATCACAAAATCAGGGCATATATTCTTGCCTCCTTTGTTGTAAATTAATTGACTATTTATGATCCTGTTTTTTCTGAAGAGTATTTTCTGCATCACAAAAGCAGGGCGAGGGTTCCCTTTTCTCCACATCCTTGCCAACATTTGTTCTTTTTTTTAATAATAGGCATCCTACCAGGTGAGAGGTGATAGCTCATGGTGATTTAGATTTCCATTGCCCTGATGAGAAGTTATGTTAAGCACCTTTTCATGTACCTGTTGGCCATCTGTATATCTTCCTTTAAAAATGTTTATTTAGGTCATTTACCCATTTTTAAATAAATTGTTTTTGCTGAGTTGTATGAGTTCTTTGTGTATTGTGGATATTAACTCCTTATCAGAGGTATGATTTTCAAATATTTTTTTCCCACTCAGTACGTTGCCTTTTCATTTTGTTGATGGTTTCTCTTGATTTGAAGAAACTTTTTAATTTGGTATAGGCCAGGGAAAGCAGGTCCATGGCAATCCCTGGATTTATGAGTGATCACGGTACTAAATGCTTATAACCAGGGAAAGTGTACAGCGTGTCCAACATTCTATAAAATTGTGCTCAAAGCAACATTTATAATCGTATAAAAATGCTCTACAAGGTCCATGTTACAGGGCAGCGGCTTGAACAACACCTTTGTTTTTTCATTTACAATTTCCTTTAGGACTGAGGTCATCTTTTTCCTTCTAGTTGAAGAATCTCTCCTCAGCCAGCCTTCCTGTGGTTCTGGGTGATGTCTGTTCCGTCTTTTAGTTGTATTTTTGAAGTGGTTGTTTGCGGCGGCAAACTCCGGTGTTCACCTATGCCACCATCTTGGTTTCTCCCCATTTTTATATATGAGCAAAACATCGAGGCATAGAAAGAATCAGAGCTGTAACAGGGTCTTTTTTGATAAACACAGCTGAAGGCAGCCTGGCATTCTTTTACCTATGTGCTGACTGCATAGTATTGCATGGCTGTCATCACAATTTTTAAATAACAGTAAGAAGAAGAAAAAATCTAAAATGGCTTCAAATGCCATCATTCAGAGACAGTCACTTCTGACTTGGGAAACTTTGCTTACCCAGACAGTTCTTTCCCCACCTTTTTATTGAGGCATAATGCACACACCAGAGTCAGTTTAAAAATATCAACAATACTGAGATTTAATTTCCTTGCAAAAAGTTTTGCTTTTTGTTTTTGTTGTTAGTCCTCACCTGAGGATATTTTTCCCATTGATTTTTAGAGAGAGAGTGGAAAGGAGGGAGGGAAGGGGAGAGAGAGAACACTGATGTGAAAGACACACTGATAAGTTGCCTCCTACACTTGCACCAACCCACACTCCAAGTGCGGCAGGGGATCGAACCTGCAACCCATGACTGGGAATTGAACCCGAGACCCTTCGGTGCATTGGCCAACACTATAACCACTGAGCACACCGGCCAGGGTGCAATGATATTTGTTTTTAGCCATATATTTTGTGGTACTCTACAATTTAGAAAGTGAGATCATTCTAAAGACCACATATACCCAGCCCCTCCTCTGCATCCTGCCACTGCCCGACTACAAGCCCCTATCATCTGAGCCTATACTGGTCTCCTCCCCTCCCAACCCACTCTCTACACTGCCCTTCATGTGGCCTTCTTTAACTCACAAATCAGTTTCCTTGCTGACCCCTCTTTCATGATCTCCAAAGCATCCATGCATTACTGCCACGCCCTTTGAATCCAGACTGCTGTCACCCCTGATAACTGCTGTTCCTTCACATTTGTATCCTCTTCTCCCACCACATTCTCTGGTGTCCCAAGAAAACTACACACTTTTCCAATAGGATCCCTTTCTCTGTACACAGGTCCATAATAGAATCTTCTGACCCCTCTTTCATGATCTCCAAAGCATCCATGCATTACTGCCACGCCCTTTGAATCCAGACTGCTGTCACCCCTGATAACTGCTGTTCCTTCACATTTGTATCCTCTTCTCCCACCACATTCTCTGGTGTCCCAAGAAAACTACACACTTTTCCAATAGGATCCCTTTCTCTGTACACAGGTCCATTATAGAATCCTATAAATGTTTGTTTCAATGTTGATCTCCCCACCAGACTGTAGGTCTCAGAAAGTAGGATGGGGTCTTTCAAGTTGGGATCTATAATCCTTTACAAGGTACATGGCATATAGCAAATAGTCAATAAAGGCATTTGTTAAAAATATTAATCTTTTAAAAATATTTTTATTGATTTCAGAGAGGAAAGGAGAGAGAGATAGAAACATCCAATGATGAGAGAGAATCATTGATTGGCTGCTTCCTGCACGCCCCCTACTGGGGACCAAGCCCAAAACCTGCTTGTGCCCTGGCCAGGAATTAAATTGTGATCTCCTAGTTCATAGGTCAATGCTCAACCACTGACTCAAACCAGCCAGGCAAAAACATTAATCTTTCCCCCCAACTTTACTGAGGAATAATTAACAAATATAATTGTATATTTTTAAAGTATGTAACATGATAATGTAATGTATATATACATTGTGGAATAATTAGTAAGGCCGCCGCCATCTCCATCGCCATGTTCCCTCTGAGCCCCACGCGGATGGCTGGGGCTGCACTCAGGAAGGGCTGCACACGGGGCGAGCTCCCTGCCATCCCCTAGTTCCGCCTGAGCTCCACGCAGATGGCCTGGCCACATGTGGAGCGGGCTGCACACCCGCGAGCCCCCTGCTATCCCCTTGTTCCGCCTGAGCTCCGCGCTGATGGCCTGGCCACATGTGGAGCGGGCTGCACACAGGGTGGGGACCCCGCCTTCGCCGCTTTCCAGGTATGATTTTCAAATATTTTTTTCCCACTCAGTAAGTTGCCTTTTCATTTTGTTGATGGTTTCTCTTGATTTGAAGAAACTTTTTAATTTGGTATAATCCCACTTGTTTATTTTTGCTTTTGTTGCCTTTGCTTTTGGTTTTCAAATTCAAAAATTAATTGCCAACACTGATGTCAAGGAGTTTACTCCCTAAGTTTTCTTCAAGGAGTTTCTTCTTCAAGTATTTAATCCATTTTGAGTTGGTTTTGTGCATAGTTTAAAATAGGGGTCTAGCTTCAATCTTTTGAATGTGGCTGTACAGTTTTCCCAACACCACCTATTAAAGAGACTATCCTTTCCTCACTGTATAGTCTTGGCTTTTTGCCACAAATTAATTGACCATATATGCATGAGTGCCCATTTCTGTGCTAGTACCATGCTGCTTTGATTACCAGAGCTTTGAAATATAGCTTGAAATCAGAAAGCATGATGCCTACAGCTTTGTTCTTTATCAAGATTGTTTTGGCTATTCAAGGTCTTTTGTCATTCCATACAAATTTTATGAAAGGTTCTTCTATTTCTGAGAAAATGTCATTGAATTTTGATAGGGATTGCACTGAATTTGTAGATCACTTTGGGTTTTATGGACATTTTTACAATATTAATTCTCCCAATCCATGAGCATGACATATATTTACATTTATTTTTGTCTTCTTCGATTTCTTTTATCAATGTCCTCTAGTTTTTAGACATTGACTATCATCCTCTTAGTTAATTTATTCCTAAGTGTTTTATTGTTCGTGATGGTATTGTAAATAGAACTGATTTCTTAATTTCTTTTTCAGCTAGTTCATTGTTAGTGTACAAAGAAGCAACTAATTTTTGTATGTTGGTTTTGTATCCTGTAACTTAACTGAATTCACTTATTAGGACTAACAGCTTTTTTGGTGGTATCTTTATGGTTTCCTATGTACTGTATAAGAGCATGTCATCTGAAAAAAATAGATTATTTTACTTCTTTCTTTCTGGCTTGGATGACTTTTATTTGTTTTGTTGCTGCCTAGTAACTATGGCTAGGACTTCTAGTACTACGTTAAACAGAAATGGCAAGAGTGGGAAACTTGGTCTTGTTCCTGATCTTAAAGAAAAGGCTTTTAAATTTTCAGTTATGAACCATGCTAACTTGGTACAAGTGGGCTTGTCACATATGGTCTTTATCATGTCGAGGTACATTCCTTCTCTATTTAATTCATCGAGAGTTTTAATCAAGAGAGGATGTTGAATTTTGTTAAATGTTTTTTTGCATCTATTATAATGATCATATAATTTTATCCTTCATTCTGTTAATGTGATGTATCACACTTATTCATTTGCATGTGGTAAATCATCCTTGCATTTCAGAGATGAATCCTATTTGATCATAGTGCCTGATCCTTTCAATTTGCTCTTGAATTCAGTTTGCTGGTATTTTGTTGAGGATTTTGGCATCTATATTTATTAGGAATATTGGCCTATATTTTCTTGTAATTCCCATCTTTAAAACTACACTATGTATCAGGAAAGATGGAATTATTATTATTCCCATTTTATACACAGGTGATTCCACATCTCTTAAGTGACAGAGTTGGTATTCACACCCACATTGTCTAGCTCTAAGTCCACATTATTTGTACAAGACCAAAGCCTGCCTAAGCTGCTGCCAGGATGAGGAAACTCAGCTTAATATACTGGCTCTCTTGCAGACTTTGTGTGGCTTTTGAGTAAGTTATTGTACTAACAATTGATAACTAAAAAGACAGAAATCACAATATCAATCAATCCCTTGTCAACTTGCATGGGTTGATTAGTGCACAAAGCTCACATTCTTGTGGGGATAACATTGTTAATGTCCTCTTCAATGAAATACTAGTAAGTTCAAAACCAAGGCCACTTCCCGTCCTGGGCCTCCCTTTGCTCTTGTCCTCATAGCTACAACCTTACCTCCTGCTCGTTCATTCCTGGATTGATATCCCTCTAAAGCTCAAATGATCCCCTGCAGTTCATCCGTAAACTCCTTTGGCCCTGAACCCTTCTCAGTTAGGGTCAGGGCAGCACAAAGACTAGACAGGATCCTCAGAGGACACAGGAAACGACCTTCACTGTCTGATGATGCTGCGGCTCCCCTGGGACTAGAAGCAGAGACACTGTTTCCCAAGAATCAGGAGATAGAATGAATAGAGCTCCTTCCAAAAGGAAAAACGCCCAATACATCTCTCTCCTTGAGAAGCTATTTTTAGTTCCTTCAAGTGTCTTTGAATCCAAACAATTCAAGGAACTGCTCGAGTTCATAGTTTCAACGTGTTCCAACTTTGACAAAATACATTATGTCATGTGGGAAGAGATCCAACCAGTCTTAGCTGCCTGTGGGCCCACAATGCCAGCTCCGAAATAGGATCTTTGTCAGCGCTGGCAGTGTCTAGAGATGATTTGTGAGTACTGGTGGCCCCCTCAGCAGTAAGTATTAGAAAGAAAAGCAGGGCTTAGGTTTGTACTAGAGCAGATCAACCAACTAGGAAAGAATAGAAACAATTATCAGTGCAATGCACTTCCATTCTGAAAAGAAAAATCTCATACATAATATTAACATGATCTCATTCATATGTGAAACCTAATGAACAAAATCAACTGATGAATAAAATAGATCCAGAGACACAGAAGCGTGGAACAGCATCCACAGACTCTCACAGGGAATGTGGGGGAGGGTGGGTGCGTGGGAAGAGATCCATCAAAGAACTTATATGCATATATGTATAACCCATGGACACAAACAATAGGGTGGTGAAGGCCTGGGGCAGGAGTGGGCTAGAAGAGGTCATGGTGGGGGGTTGGTGGGTAGTGACATATGTAATACTTTCAACAATAAAGAAAAAAAACCTGTATACCTTCAAGTGCAAATTTTAATAATAAAAAAAGTTTGCAACTTTTTGCTCTTTTTTTTTAACCCAAACACCCACAGTAAAAATTCCTCCTGAAAAGAGAGAGAGAGAAAAAAAAATCTAGAGTTTAGAGTAAATACACATTACAAATCTATACCAGCATCTTCGTGAGCATGTCTGGCCTCAGCCTGGGTTTCAAAACAAACATACTACCAGAACTTTCAAAGAATCCTATTATAGAAAGAGAAAAATTCTAACAAATGATGAAGTAGAGAGAAAAAGCCACCTAGCTCTGAACAGCTGTTTATAAATCATTCTCATCGAAATGATACATGTGTAGGGAAGTTAAAGAGCTAAGGCTCAAATGGGTCATAAAGAAGTGAAAAGGATTAACCATGGATTCGGGTCAATGGCTGATTCTATCTCTGAAGCAGGGGCCGAACTGGAAGATGATGGTAATAGCGGTGACCCTTAGTGGCCGAGCGGGAGGACAGGGGTAAAAGAGTCACCATCTGTGAGGACTCCATTTACAGGGGTGAAGGGGAATTGCCACCAATTAGGGAGCTATTCTTTAGAGAACCATTTTTATGATGCTCAAGGATGTGGGTTATGCATTCTGACTGACTTTCTCCAGTGTTCATTCATTTGATATAAATTGAGTTGTAGGACAGGAACATGGAAGGGGTGGCTCACCCCTCGCATAACTGTCAGAACTGAGGAGATTCAGAAAGCAAACAGGGTGCAAGGAGAGTCTGCACCAGTCAGGCTTCTCTGGGGAAGCAGAACCAGTAGAATACAGACAAACTTATACCTGTGAGCGTAGTCATATATATGTACATGCACACACACGCAACCGGGGGTGGCAAACCCAAACCCACAGTGCAAACCTGCAGGGTGGAGAGTCTCAGGTATGAGCCGATGATGTCATCTCGGGGCAGGATTTCTTCTCCTCAGGGAAGCCTGGTTTTGCTCTAGGCCTTTGAAGTAATTAAATGAGGCCCACCTAGAGTATATGGATAACACTCTTTACTTAAAGTCAGCTGATCACAGACGTCAACCACATCTTCAAAATGCCTCTGCAGCAACACCTGGATTAGTGTCCAAGGGACTACTGGGTGCTACAGCCTAGCCATGTTGACTTATAAAACTGCCCATCACAGAGGGGAAGGCTGGCAGCTGAGGGAGGACTGGGGAGACCTAGGGGCATGAGCAGGGTGGGTAGGAAGCAAATGCATACATGAATGGAATCCCAGGTACCCAGGCACAGGGACCCAAGATCAGCATCAGAGAAGTGAAGATGCTGGGGTTACAGCACTGAGCCCTGACCATAGTGGCTACATGCCAGGCATGTCCAAGGTGCTTCACACACCTCCTTCAGCCCTCACAATTACCCTGTGGCACAGGTACCACTAACCACATTTTGCTGATGGGAAGCTGGCACACAGAGAGGCCGACCAACTTTCTAAGGTCATACAGCTCCTAAGCACACAGGAAAAATTCTAACCCAGCCCTTCTAACTACAGAAAGGGTCTGCGGGCTGTGGAAGGGGCTAGAGTCAAGGGCACAGATGGAGAAATTACTTTAGCTTTTGGACAGAAATAGGAAAGAGCTCAAGATGAGTGTAAAGAGAGAAGTGGATAGCAGTTAAACAGGAATTCCAAAGAGCGGTGGGGGTTTCGAGTTGTTCACAGAGGGGAAGGCTGGCAGCTGAGGGAGGACTGGGGAGAC